TTATCTCTTAATTTTTATTTATTTACTAATTTACTATATTATCTTCTTGAATTACGAGTCTATTACATATGTTTGTTTTAAATTAAAAATTAAATTACTATTTTTTCTCTTTCAATAATAATTTGAACAAACTAATAACTTCTTGTTTTTTTTTTTCAGCTACGGAAGATGACGAGTGTATTGGCTCTAATGTAGATTGGACTGTAACAAAGTCTAATAATTAATGCATATGTTATATTATTATTTGTGTTTACCAATATTATAAGATTATCGGTCCTAATTCATTAGTTTGTTTTCCGGAGAGAGTTCCTTTGTCTTTGTTTTTTTCAAGCTCTTTGTTATTTCTAGAAGTACTTTATTTTATTATGTATTGTTTTTAAGACAATTTTACTTTTGTATCTTCTTTCTCCTTAATAATATATCAGATGATTTTTATGTAAAAAAAAAAAAAAAGACTTGGGAGAGTCTAGTACTTGAGTTTGAAACAATTTTATTTATTTTGAGTTTGACATACAAGAATAATTGAGTGTCATTGTATCAGTATTTGATTTGGTTTGTATCTTTATATCAGTTTTGAATGAGAATTTTTTATTTGACACTTGTATTCAAAATTTATTTTCTTTTAAAGTTAATTATAGTCAACCGTCTAAATAATGTAAATTAAATGTATCGCATATTAGAATTTTTTGTTTGAATTCTTTTATTTTATAATCCTTCATATCAAATAATGTTCGAAATGATTTAGAAATTATTGGATATGGATATGATATTTTAACTGAGGAAATACTATATTGAATTATTAAACTATACTAAAGGTGGTGATTAACTAGTTGTATAATATAAAATGAGTATAAAATATATAGCATTATACTATTTATCTAATTAAAAATAGATAATAATAATAATAAATAAATAAATTATTCGTTCACTTAGACTCAATTATCGGGTTGAAATAGGGTCAAAGTTCGGTTCAGATCGAATATGAGTAAATTAAATTTGAGTTAATTTCGGTTTAGTTAACGTTTGGTTCGGGTTGCTTTCGATTCGGGTTGCTTTCGATTCGGGTTGCTTTTGATTCGGTTGCTTTAGATTCGGGTTGCTTTTAGTTCAATTATAATTTGTGTCTGTTTCGGTTCGATTCGATTTATTTCGGGTTTCAAATCAATTTCAGGTTATCATATTAGAGTCTCGGATCAGGTAAATCGGTTCGAATAATCGGGTACGGATGAACTTTGCCAAAGTCTAGCTGCCATGAAAACAATGGAAATGAGGAGAATGCCATGAAAAAAATGATTATAAACTAATAATACGTAAATTGAAATGAGAAACCCAAAACATGTCGTTTAGGGTAGGGGTGAGTAACGAAACCGAGAAAACCGAAAAATCGACACGAACCGAGTAAAACGGTTCGGTTCGGTTCGGTTTGGCTTTAAACGGTTCGGTTTTCGGTTCGGTTTAAAGGCTTCATTTTTTTGATTCGGTTCGGTTCGGGTTTTCCATATGGAACCCATTTGTTCCATATTGAACCGAATAGGCAATTTTTGTAAAAAAAATTATAGTTTCAAGTGATTTTTCATTGAAAAACCGAAAAACCGAACCGAACCGAACCGAAAAACCCGAACCGTTAAAAAACCCGAACCGAACCGAAAAAACCGGTTTCGATTTTTTCGGTTTTTTAACTATTCGGTTTCGGTTTCGGTTTCGGTTTAAATATTAAAAAACCGTTTATTTCGGTTCGGTTCAGTTTTTGGTAAAAAACCGAACCGAACCGAACCGAATACACCCCTAATTTAGGGTTAACAGTGTGTATTTTCCATCAACCGAAGAGCCTTAGGAGGATAGAGGAAAAAGGGAATCGCAATCACCAACTCAGCATTAAAAAGATAAAAAAAACATGTAATATTGTAATAACAAAAATAATTTACGTTTCTATAACATTAATTTGTTAAAAAATAATATACTCTTTTATAATATTAACTTAATTATTTTTTAAAAGGACCCTTTAGCCTAATTAGTTTTTTATAAAATTTAAAATCTAATCTCAATCCTATCTAGATAAGAGGGAAAGTGGAGATTTTAGGGAAGAAATAAGAGTGTTCCTAGTGAGTATAGAACTCATGACCTAATAAAACATGAGTAAACAAATATGAACAGTTTGATCCCCACGATTTTCGGTTTTTCTCCACCTGGTTGCCACCCCTAGATATTATATTATTGTTTGTAATTTAAATGGAATTTTTTAAGTTTAATTTATTAGCAACATACAAAGTATTATAATTTATATTGAATTATCAAACAATTTTTTTGAAAATTTTAAACAATGAATTTAAATATAAATGGATTTTATTTATATTTAAATTTTTATTTATAATATAATACAAAAATTGATTGTTTTGGTTATGTATGAATCTTAAACAATCTGTATTTGATTTAAATTTAAATTACTATTATTAATACAAAAATTTAATCAGTAAAAATTATTTATTCTTCAATAAGACTTGATTTTTTTGTTAGGCATGAATATTGAAAATTTAGAGGTGAATATTTGGGCAGTGGTCACAAAAGATCGAAGAACCCCAAAAGCAAAAGTGAAATAACACTTTGGTCACTTCTTGATTCAAAACAGATACTATTGATACAAAAACAGTCGATCGAATATTACTTCAATTTTTTTTTCCTTTTCTTTTATAAATTATAAATCTAGTTCTAATCCTCTGAAAAGGAATAACTCTAGTGAAAGGAAATAGAGTGTTTTAGAAGGTTTCGAATACACGAGAGAATAAAAATAAATTAATTATATTGTAAGAAATGTTTAAAATCATGGTAAATAAGAAAACGATAAATACACAAATGGTCCTCTGACTGTAAGGTATTGCTTTATTAAGTCACTCGACTATTAAAAGTCACAAAATAATCTTTCGACTATAGAATGTTACTTTGTTAAGTCCCTCGACTATTAAGAGTTACAAAATGGTCACTCGACCATTTACTTTTTTCGTAAAAAACGACGATTGTCTAAGTTGGATGTTAACATGATGTTTGAGATATGATAGTCGTTTGAGATTCTGAGATCATATTTTATCATATCACAATCAACATGTTAACTTCCTGCTCAGAATACTGTCAATTTTTTAATGGAAAATGATGACTTTTGAAAAATAATGAATAGTCGGATGACCATTTTGTAACTTTTAATAGTAGAGGGATTTAATAAAGCAGTACCCTATAATCAAAATTATTTTTAAAATTATAGTAGATTATATTAAGAAAAGTTAAAATTATTTTTAATAATAATATATGTGTAATTGTATATATACATAAAAAAATAAATATATTTTTAATATCTATTTCTAAAATGTGAAAGCAAATATAGCATAAACCAATTAAGAAAATCTTTTTGATGCACTTGATTAAGAAAAAGATTTAGTTTAATCAGACAAATATGCCCACTGCCAAGTTTTTAGCGCTCGCACGTTTTAGTCTTATTTTTTCCTGAAAATGCTAAAAGAGGTTGAAATTTCCAAAACAAAAGAAATTAATACTTGGGGGATAATTTCATAATGATCAAAATTAGATGTACCTAATACCAGTTTTCCCTCTTTTCTGTTTCAAAATATTGATTTTTCTAATACTTATTTATTTTTGTGTTTGATAAAATATTAAATAATTTTATTCCGTTTATAAAAAAATTAGTTAGTAAGAACCAAACAATCTCGGTGGTAAATGAGTTATTGTTATTCCTTAAGATCTCGGATTCGATTAGTGAAAGAGTCGGTAAAAATTAATTCGTACAAACCAAACGATCTTGTACTTAATTACTCCAGATTAATCTAAAAAATTAATTCAATTAATAATCATATTAAAATTTCTATTACTTTATACAATTTTTAAAAAAAAACATTAAATAGAATAAATAAGGGTAAACTACACAGATAATCCTCCAACTATAGAAACTTTTTTGTTGCATCTTCTAACTATGAAAAGTTAAAAATGATAATTTGGTTTAACATAAGTAACAAATTGATCCTTTTTCTTTAATGGGAGATGACGTCACAATTAATAATATTAGCATAATAACAAATTTAGTCCTTAATCTTTACTCATTGTTATAATTTGATCTTAATTTTAAAAATTTAGCTCTCAATATTTAAGGATTACATCAATTTAGTTCATCTTCTAACATATTTTCTAATTTTTATTAATTAAACTAAAAATGTGATTGAAAAGTTTTTATTTTTCCTTCTTTTGATTCAAATTACTTAATTTCTCTTTACCATATTGGAAGATAGAAAATAGCCGGTGTAGAAGGTCTAGGTCAGATTATACGCTCTAACTCGACTTAACAGCAGAATGGGGAGAAAATGTATTGTCGTCATCAAGATCAATATAAAAGGTTTCAAACGGGCAAGTAGAATTGGGTCGGAGTTTTGAATGAAAAATTCCTAATTTGATATGATCTGAAATTTCATAGAATGTACAAAGTTGATGAAATATCAATAGATCAAGTTTGGATTAGGTCGAGTGGAGCGTGTTTATTTTTCACGTTGGGGTCAAGATGATAAAAAATTCGACTTAACCCCACCTATGCAACAAAAAAGTTATAGGACTACCTAATGTAGTTTACCCAATAAGTAAATATATAACTATTTCCGATAATGTTAAATTATTTTATATTTTTTATGTTATAAAATCCACTTGTACGAATCGCAAGGCTTTGACTTTGAGATATGCTCAATCACTTTTATTCTCTGTCTCACCCACGCACTCTCAGAGGGTCAACTCCTCCATTAATTTGTAAAGTAAATCAATTTGCAGTTCACAGTATTATTTTATAAACATAGCAATAAATAACTAAATAAATAAAGCTCCCTTTCGGTGTGAGCCTCTTCTTTTTCTTCTTTCAAATAAAGCCTCTCCCTTCAAATGTCAACTCCCTCTCCAATTTTTTGTTCTTTTATTGCAGTCTCGTCATCTCCTTCTTACAAAACCTATAGAACCAAACAACCTGAAAGAAAGAAAGAAAGAAAGAAAAAGAGCACTGAATCATGGGAAACAGTTTTCGAAAGCTAAGCCAATGCTGTTCTTTCAATGGCGCCGGAAGCCATGAAATGATGATGGCCTCTCACGTTATGCCTCACCCCTCCGATGAGTTCATCGGACATTCATTTTGTTACGTCCGGCCCGACCCGATCCTTCTCTCCTCCGCCGAAAACCACTCCTCGATCAACTCTTCTTCTTCCTCCTCCTCCTCCACCAATACAACGACGACGTTTAGCTCCATCTCCGGAGCTTCCGTTGGCGCCAACTTAACAACGGTCCCGTTCGCGGCGGCGGTTCCATCCCCGTTACCCGATCGTTCCTCCACGTTCAAAAGCTCCGAGCTAGTCGCTTCCCTTACGTTACAGCCGGTGCCACGTGGCAACTCCCATTGTTGGTCGGCACCGATGGATCGTGGGTTCTTGTCGAGCCCGATTATTGAGTTCAACAAAAGGTTGTCTGATGGCAGTTTTAGTAAGTCAAAGAAGAAAGGTTCGTTTTCTATCAAGAGTTTCAAGAGAGCACTATTTTTCGTCTCGGAGAAAGAAATTTCGTCAGCTATAGAAACCGAAACTAACAATCCAAGCAGTGGAAAGAGTTTGAATGTTAATGATCATGGCGATCAAACTGATGAGGACGACGACGATGATGGTGATGGTTACCGGCTTTCAATGAAAAGCCAGAACTTGCAATGGGCACAAGGCAAAGCCGGTGAGGACCGAACCCATCTCGTTGTTTCAGAAGAAGAAGGTTGGATTTTCGTCGGAATTTATGATGGTTTCAGTGGCCCTGATGCTCCTGATCACTTGCTTAACAATCTCTTCCATGCCGTCTTCGAGGTGCTTAAAGGGATCTCATGGAACAATGGCAAGGCCGAATCCGATGAAGCAATGGGATTCGATTCGAAGAAATGGAAGTGCGATTGCGACCGTCAAAGATTTGAACTTTCGATGAATTCCACAGCGTCAAGATTCAAACATTCTGATTTTCTGAAAGCACTTTCCGAGGCCTTAACCAAAACCGAAGAGACTTACTTAAAGATGGCCGATTTAAAACCAGAGCTACACGCAATGGGGTCTTGTGTTTTGGTGATGTTGATGAATGGAGAAGATATATATGTGATGAATTTGGGGGATAGCAGAGCCATTATAGCACAAAAGACACAGTCTTCCAATTTGATCCCACACCAGCTCACAATGGATCACAATTCAGATGTTAAAGAGGTAACCTTTTTTCTTCAAAATTTCACATTTATGTTTCACAAATTAACTTAAAAAATGTTCTTTTCTTTTACCAGGAAGTTGAGAGAATCCGGAAAGAACATCCAGATGATGATGAAGCAGTTGTTAATGAAAGAGTGAAAGGCTACTTGAAGGTCACTCGAGCTTTTGGTGCTGGTTTTCTCAAACAGGTAAAAGAACAATCAATTACAGACCAAAGCTTAGAAAATGAAGAATTTGGGACTGATTTATGTGTCTGATTATTGTTCGCAGCCTAAATGGAACGATGCTTTGTGTGAAATTTTCAGAATCAATTACGTTGGAACATCACCATACATCACATCATCTCCTTCACTTTATCACTATAAACTAAGCCCCGATGACAGATTTTTGATACTCTCATCTGATGGACTCTATCAGTACTTAACAAATCAACAAGTCGTTTCCCAAATCGAATGGTTCACCGCCTCGTTTCCTGACGGCGATCCGGCACAACATCTCATCGAAGAAGTACTAATTCGGGCCGCCGAGAAAGCTGGTACAAATCTTGTCTCCGGTAAAAACATGATTTCATCATCTAAAGAACTAACTGAACTTGCTTTGTTTATAAATTTCCTTCTTTTTGCAGGTCTTGATTTCCATGAATTGATTGAGATCCCATCAGGGGAACGGAGAATCTACCATGATGATGTTTCGGTGATCATTATTTCTTTGGAAGGAAGGATATGGAGATCATCAGTAAATAGTTTATAATCATCATTTCCTTCTATTGTTGATGTAGGAATTTTTCATTTAAAGGTGGGATTTTTGGCCTCTAATCATATGATAATTCTAATATTGGATCGAAAAAGTCTGTCAAATTTTAAAGTTCAAAAACCAGAAGTTGTTTCAAAATGGTGAAGTCATCTTATATCTACTCTCCTACCAAAACCTATTTTATTTGAGTCTAAGTTCTTCAACTGCTTTTCTGTCATCTCTTTCACTGTAATCTTCTAAGCTGAAGTACTACAGTGTTCTTTAAAGTTTGGTTTCTACTAAAGCAAATTTGACCAATGGTAAACTACGTCATTACGCACTCAATGCATGAAAAAAAATTATAATTTAGGGTATATTACAAAATTTATCATTAAGATTTCTTCTCACTCCAATTTTGGTCACTAAAGTTCAAAAAATTTCAATTTAATCATTAAACTTTCAAGTTGTTCCTGCTTCAATCATCAACCAAAGGCGTGATGGCACGGTATGTTTTTATTAATATTTTTCTATGGTGTGATTTATTTTATTAATATTTACGCAACATAAAATTTAGAGTAGAAAGTTAAATGCTTATACTCTATTCTCTAAACCTTAACCCCAAACTCTCACTGTTATCATCACACTTAACTTCACCCTCATATTTAAGTATTACATCAATTTAGTTCATCTTATAACTTATTTTATAATTTTTATTAGTTATACTAAAATTGTGATTGAAAAGTTTTTATTTTGTTACCCAAGATTGGACTATTTTGGAAGTGAGGAATAGGAAGAAAAATAAGGTAACCCGTTTTATTTCATGGGATGAAAATGAAGTTAGCGTGACACTGTTTATGTATGTATATAAAATATGGGATGATTTGGATTCAAAATATTGGATTCATACGGATTGGGGGTATAATTCAAGTGGTGGTTCAATCATATAACAAAATAGTTATTGGAAAATGGAGGTTTTGTAAGAGAAGAGAAATAATGACACAAGATTTATGGAGTTTGAGGTGTTTTCAGATTAAAAAGATAGTAGATTCATGTTCTAGAGAGAGAAATAAGTTTGATGTAAGATTTTAAGAGTTATTGGTTATTGTTAACGATGGTCAATAATAATGGTCAAGGTGAACAGTGACCCAGATCTGGGTAGATGTAGAGAAAAAGAGAGGAAGAAAAAAACAAGAAAAAAAGAAACGAATAAAAATGGATAAAAATAGATTTTATAGAGATCCAAGATAGTATCATTTTAGAGTAAATTTGACTTTTTCAAAATGATATTGTTTTTGTGAGATATGTCATACAGTAACTAACGACGTTTACTATTTAACGATGGAGTGACAAAATAGAAGTAATTTAAAAGTTTAGCAATTAAGATTGAAAATTTAAAACTTTAGTGACCAAATCATGAGTAAGAAGAAAGTTCAATGATGGATTTTATAATTTATTCATAATTTAAACTCTCCCAATTACTTATAATAATTGAGTAAATTATATAGTTGCTTTCTTAATTATATATATATATATATATATATATATATATATATATATATATATATATATATATATATATATATATTTAGTCATCTAAATTTAGAACATGTTCAGAAATACTGTATGATAAGGCACAAAATAGTTTGTCACTAAGTATTTGACCAAATAAGAATATATGTTTCCTATAGAGTTATCCAAAAAAAAATTATCACGAAAACACCCCTAGAGAGATAGGGTTAAGCGAGGAGGAGAATTTAAATTATTAGACTCACACGAAGTTTGCCAATAATTGATTGTCTAATATCGGGATTTATGAATGTCAACTAATATAGTAAGTAAATTGATGAAAATGAAATACAAATTTAGTGGTCATTTTTCAAGTTTTTGAATTTGGATAACCAAAATGAAAATTTTGGGTAATTGGGAGCCAACTGTATAATTTTCCCTTTATTAAAATTTATGATATCATATTATCCAATATAAAATTCATATCAATGTGTTTAGTTGTATATGATAGTGATTTACTGATTTGTCCTTAAACTCTATACATACTTAATACACTGGTCTCATTTGTCCAACTGGCTTTAGTTTATAAATGCAAGGAAACAGACATTTCTGGAACTTTTGGCAGCTTTTTAAGAAGTCATCCAAACATGACATGGGTGATTGGTCCTGGGTTCACTGTTAGAATATGACCAAACTGGAAGACCAATGCTGATTGGTTAAAGGCATTTTAACATTATTTTTCATAAAAAAGGACATTTTAGCATTTCACGAGTCACGACATTATCGGAGAAATAAAAATTTAATTCGAACACTGAGCTCAACATGACAGGAAGAATTACGAGAAATACAGGGTGTTCGTTATCAATGATCCAATGATGTATACTAAGATTGGCAAAGGCTTTTGGTGTTCTCTACCCACCATATGAACCTCTGGAACCCGGGCTCATGGTCTCGGATGAATGGCCGAAACAGGAACATTGTCATCGTAAATATGTTGAAGATTGTATATTGAATTCAGAACGATGTGGCGAAGTTCGGTTTTAAAAAATTAATAAATTTAGAGTCGATATCGACATTTGGATTAGGTAGGTCGAACACCTTAATACATTTTTTAAAAAAGATTGAGAATTTCCTTTAAAAGATAAAAATAGTCTACGTTTAATTAAAAATTCATTTTAAAATAAATTCGGAAGTCGATTACGCATGAAGAATGATGAACGCGCACAAGCACACTACAAAATATCCTACCCAATGGAAGATTAAATATATGCTTGCATATAGAAACAACACACTTTAAAAAACATAAAGCAAAATAATAAGGCATGTGAAATAGATATATAATATGGAGTTAATGTGAATATATATATACATGACAAATCAAAGTAAAGTTACATAAATTTAACAAGCATAAATATAAACATGGCAAAAATGAGGACTAAACTATAAATAATAAATTTAATTATTAATAGGATAATTACTCTTTTAATAAGTCAATTTAAAAAGGTATTTGTTATCTTTTTAATTTTGAATATTAAAAAATAATTATATACTTTTGTATATTTCAAATTAAAATATTTGTTTAAGTTTAAATAGTAAATTGAGTTTACCTTTTGACCATTGCAAATTAAATATATTATTTAATTTGAATATTAGTAGGATATTTACTCTTTGAATATGTCAACTTAAAAATGTATTTTTACCTTTTTAACTTTAAATATTAAAGATGATTACACTTTTGTATATTTTAAATTAAAATAATACATATTTAAGTTTGAATTATAAAATGAGTTTTATCTTTTGAATATTTCAAATTAAAAGATATTGTTATCTATTTAATGTTGAATATTAAAAGATATTTGGTTGGATTAAATCTCTATTGAAAATCTCTTATAAATAGTGAGCAAACTTGTTAGGGTTTTCACATCTTAATAGATCTCACAACTCCGTTTTTCAAGAACTTCTTTTATCTTGAAAAAGTTTTCTCTTCCTTAGTTTTTCCGTTGATAGTCGAAGGCAAAGATCATTAGTGATCTGTGCAGATGTGCTACTGTAGCTGATCATAAGTTTTTGTATCATGAGAGACAGACGACCAACGAACTCGAGAACCAAATGAGAGGCTGAAAATCTTAAGGAAACTGTGTAGCGATAGGCCTCAACTGTTTCTGATCGATAGATAAAAATAAAATGAGCATTTTATTTCCATTTATTTTATCATATCTTCTAAGAAGTTTAACCTTTTTGGTTTATTTTCTCATGATTGATTTTGTCTCAAATTGTTATTTCGGATAACAATCTCAAGATAAGAGTAAACTCGTTCTATCTTTTATTTATTCATTGTTATTTTTCTATATCATTCTTGGATTAATCTGCACAATTTTTCTAACAATCTTAAGACATATTTGATTTTCTTTTATTTTTTTAGATGATATAAAATTCGTGAGTTTAATCCTTGTTGTGTACAAAGAAAGTGTCAAAAATTTGACAAAACAAATATTGGACGAAAATCAAGAAGATTTTACGCCAAAGATAAGTTTCCTTCAAATTTTGAATTTATGATTTCAATTTCTTTAAGGAATATTTTTTAAGTTAATTTTAATGTGAGATATGACTCCATTAATTTCTGTGTAGGGATTCAAATAATTGGATTTTAATATCTTTACAAGATCTCTATTGTTACACACTTTGTGGTGGCACACCTTGAATCTTGATGGTTTAGGTTTTGATTAACAATGGTGAAGTTAATAAAGATAATCAATAATTCAAGTTTTGGTTAAAAACGATGAAGTCAATCAGGTAGGTGAAATTTGAATATTTCCCTTTAATCTGAAACGATTTGGAACTATTTCTTCTACTTTTCTTAATTTGAAACGATTCAGATATCATGGAAAACGAGATAGAAAATAAATTTATTTAGGGATTTATCCTTTCGTTTTAACATGTTTGCTAAAATCTCAAAGTGGACAAATTTGTATAACAGAAATTGTCGTAGAAGTAACTTTGGTTACTGATTTTGTTTCAGAATATTTGATTCTGTCCGATAACAAAATCAGAAATAAACAAGAATTAATTTTCTGTTTATTGGAATCTTTGATTTCGTATTTGAAATCAATTGAGATTTTAATTTTGTTGTGTAATAATATTATTTGATTTCTAAAGAAATCGTTGGAAAGTAACAACTGTGTTACTGATTTGTTTCAGTATTTTAGTTCATAACTAAATTTTGTTGATAGAATAAATCAAAATTTAATTTTGGTTTATTGTTGGTATTATTATTATTAATTCTAGTTTTGTGTATTAAAAGAAATCATGATTATCAGTGATTGTGAGCCATGATGAGAAACTTGTAAAATTCTATGAATTTGACCAAATAACATAAGATGTGAGATGATTCTTCTATTATTAGAAATGATGAGATAAACGTTGTTATCAGATTCACTAAAGTTTGGAAATACATCCTGAATGTATTATGATATACACAATATAAGGTGTACAATTGAACCATAAATACGAAATGAAAGATGATGGTACAAATAAAT